TATGGTTTTCTGTAAATGAGGCCCAGTGATGTACTTCTGGACCCACTGTAGGGTAGCATCCCTTCCATAATGGGTACTTCCGTGTACATGTTTTAAGATGGAGTACAAAAGGGCCTCTGGGATCAGAATTATTCCATGGGTATCACTTTTCCAGCCCACTGGGTGTTCAACATTGTATCACAATTCTTTTGCCCGAATTCTTTCTATGACTGTTTTGGCTGATACCCCGATAGATCTATCTGTGGCAGTAGAGGGCCCATCATGGTGGGGGTCTCTGTCCTAGCTGTCCTTTTGGCTGCCTGGTCAGCCGGTCTGTTGCCCCTGGCTGTAGGAGTTTCTCCTTTTTGATGGCCAGGGCAATGTATGATGGCTACCTGGGAGGGCTCATTGATAACCTCTAACAATTGCAATATCTCTGGACCATGTTTAATTTCTTTCTTGTCTAAGAATCTTCTTTCTTTTCAAATTGCCCCGTGGGCATTTACTACTGAAAATGCATATTGGGAATCTGTATAGACATTTACTTTCTTCCTTGTGCTGAGAGTAAAGCTCTGGTGAGAGCGATGATTTCAGCCTTTTGAGCTGAAGTCCCGGGGGGGAATACTTTGGCCTCTAGGGTTTCCTGCAAAGTGACAGCCGCGTACCCAGGGTGTCTCCTACCTTGGTCCATAAAGCTACTACCATCGGTGAAGAGGTCCATGTTGGGTTCCTCCAGTGGATGGTCATTTAAATCTGGCTGGCTGGAATAACCTGTCTCAGTAACCTCCAAGCAGTCATGTTCTAAGGCTTGTGAGGTTTCATTGGGGAGCAAGCTGGCCAAATTTAGAGCTGAGGTGACTTGTAACCTGACGTTTGGGTTGTCCAGGAGGGTAGCTTGGTATTTGCTCATACTTCCTGAGGTAAGCTAGTATCTTTCTTTCTGTTCCAGTACTGTGAGGAGGTGATGGGCCACATATATTGTGGTGGGCTGGCCTAGAGTAAATTTTTCTGCCTCTCAAAGAATATCACATGTGGCTGCCACTGCCCAGAGGCAGAGGGGCCAACCCCTCACTATCTGATCCAACTGTTGTGAAAAATAGGCCACCAGCCTAGAGGTTGTTCTCAACCTTTGAGTCAATACTCCCAGACTTATGCCCTGTCTCACATATACATAGAAGCTAAAGGACTTGTCCAGGTCTGGCAGTCCTAAGGCTGAGGCTGAAGTGAGCTTAGCCTGAATGGTGTCAGGTGCCAGCTGGCACTCTTTAGTCCAGTCTGATGGTTCTGAGTCCAGACCCTTCAGAGCATCATAGAGGGGTTTCACTATGAGTCCATAATTAGGGATCCAAATCTGACAGAAGCCTGCCATTCCCCCAAATCCTTACAGTTATTGATGGGTTTTGGGAGGACCTAAACACACTTTGGCCTTTTTCGGATCTGGTAATAATTCTCTTTGGCCTTTGGATCTTGTAAATCCCAGGTATGTGACTCTCTGCTTACAGATTTGGGCTTTCTTTTGAGAGACCTTATATCCAGTGGTAGGTATATACCTACCTTTGTGGTAGGTAATTTAAAGTCTGTTGTGTTGGCCAAATGTTGTCCATAATTGGAGCTTGCTAACAGCAAGTCATCCACATATTGTAATAACAGCCCCTTGTAGTTTCAGATGGCGGAGGTTTCTGGCCAGGGCTTCCCCAAATAAAGTGGGAGAATTTTTAAATCCCTGGGGGACTGTCCAACAATGTTGTTGAGTTGTCTGAGTATCTGGATCACGCCATTCAAAAGCAAACAATTGCTCGGCTTTCTCTGCCAACGGTATGCAGAAAAATGCATCCTTTAAGTCCAAGACTGAGAACCCACCATATTCTCCCAGTATATTTGTTAATGTGGTGTAGGGGCTAGGCACCACAGGGTGTAAGTCTTGAACCATCTCATTCATGCATGCAGATCTTTTTTTTTTTTTTTTTAAGATTTTATTTATTTTATTTTTCCCCCAAGGCCCCAGTAGATAGTTGTATGTCATAGTTGCACATCCATTCTAGTTGCTGTATGTGGGACGCGGCCTCAGCATGGCCGGAGAAGCGGTGTGTCGGTGCTCGCCCGGGATCCGAACCCGGGCCGCCAGCAGCGGAGTGCGCGCACTTAACCGCTAAGCCACGGGGCCGGCCCATCATGCATGCAGATCTTGAATGAAGTGATATTCATTAGAATTTGGCTTCTTGATTTGGAAAATAGGGGTGTTATATGGAGGTAGACAGGGTCTGATTCATCCTCCTCCAAGAACTTTTTGAAAATAGTCTGTATGCCCTTTTGAGCCTCCTGTTTTAGCAGATATTGTTTCAGGCTGGGCTTTATTTTCTTTTCCTTTAAGGGTATCCACACTGGTTGGGCATCGTTTGCTTTCCCCAGGTCCTGTTTGCTTATACATTGGGCCTTAGCTGCTTGTAGATTTCAGGTGGCACCAGTTCTGGTTCTGGTTCCTTGGCCCCCAGCAAAGCCATCTGCAAGCTCAGGGACTGTTCTGGAGGCACTTGCATATTGAGTTGTCATGAAAAGCAAGTCCCAACCCAAGAGTGAGATAGGGTGTTCTGGCATGTAAAGGAAACTTTTAAAATTAGGTTCCCTATGTGGTATTCTAGTGGCTGCAGGAACACACGATTTTGGACTTCACCAGAGACCCCTGTCACTGGAGTTGAGTTCAGTGTCTTTTGTGCTAATTTGGTATTTAGGACTGAATGTGTGGCTCCAGTATCCACCAAAAAATGAACCAACTTATTCCCCACTGTCAGTTGTACCTGAGCTCCTGTGGGGAAATTCGGATTGGATATTTTATGTCCAAAAGAGTCCCCAGGCACCTTCTGTTCTCATCAGAGCATTCTTCTCTATTGACCATCTGAGTAGCTTCCCCTCTCTTCCCATCAACACTTCCTTTATCTTTCTTTGGGCATTCCTTTTTCCTATGTGCCTCCACCTTGCAATAGGCACATTGATTTTTTCGTAAAAGAAAATTTATTTTTACCTCCCTTCAGTTGGCTTGACCTTCCTCTGGTATGATTGTTTCTGCCTGCCCAGAGCAGCTGCCAGAAAAGTGGTATTTCTCCTTGCATCTTCCTGCTTTGTCTAAAGTTCCTTGTTGTTGTATAGCTTAAAGGCAGTGTCTACCAACTGAGAAGGATTCATACCTAATGCCCCATCTAGTTTCTGCAGTTTCTTTCTAATGTCTGGGGCACTCTGTCCTATGAAGGTCGTATTTACCATCCTAAGATTTTTCAGGGGCTTCTGGCTCTTTATCTATATATCACCTAGAGGCTTGGTAGAGCCTTTCTAGAAATTCAGAAGGATCTTCATCGGGTTTTTGTTGGGTCGCTGTACCTGGTTTACACTTTTCTGTTTAGGGACTCCCACTTTTAATCTGGTTAGAATGCGCCTCTTATAATATTCTAGTCTGAGTCTCCCTGTGGCATCATTAGGAGCCCAGGCCAGCTCAGCAATAGGAACAGCGGCATTTGCCTCTGGGGTTCCAGTGGATCTGCTAGATGGAGCCAGTGTGCTTCCTCCCTTGCTTTATCAGTTACCATTCTTTTTCATCTCTGGTGAGGAACATATTCATCAAGATATGAACATCTGCCCTGGAGGGGTGCTGAGTAGCACAAATAACTCAGTCATTCTCTGTGGAGACTTCCTATAGGGCAGATTATTCTTCTTCCCATTAAACAAGTCAGAGGTGAGGGAGTTGTGCATCCATACGAATCCTGCCCGTTAGCTCTGGGCATTTACCCTTGTGGGATATTGGTGGAGTGGAAATTGCCCTGCTCTGACAGCTGCTCCTTGGCCAAATTGTGTCCCTTGTCTGGTCCAGGAAGGGGAAACCCCTCTCCCAGTCCTGGTCCCATGTCAGGCATTCCTCCCTGGGTGGCTGGTGACTCCAGAAGAGAGGGTGCCACCAGGACTGCTGCCAGGGTATTTAGGGTTTGTAAAATAATCAAATTCTCTTCATCCTTTTGTCGCTTGTATAACATGGGGTTGGGTGGTCTTTGCACCATTAAATAATCTCTTCCCTACTTTTCTTCATCCTGATATAATGACATGAAAGCTTGTACATACAGGATTTCATCATCTTTTCCTACCTTTTTGCAAAAGAGCTCCAATTGCAATATAGTATAATGATTCAGTGACACATTTGTTGGCTATTTCTCCCCAGAACCTAGAGAGTACTGAGTCCAAGCATTACTATAATAAAAACCATCTTTTTCTTTGACATTGATTCATAACTAAAATCTGTCCATCTGGTCAGTATTAGACCCAGGGGACTTTTCTTGGGCACAGATAGCACAGCACCCATACTCACACACAACACAGATACACACCAGTTAACAGAGACCAGTCCACCAGATATTCCAGGTAGTCCTACAACTATTCTCTCTACAAAAACAGTGCCTAGGAACAGATAGATCCAAGACAGCTTGGGCCTCCTGACAGAAAGGGAAGTTCTTGGAAATGCACTCCGAAGTGTCTTGCCCTACTCTAGATATGAGTTTGTCAACTCACAGATGCTTGTCCATTTCTTTGTCCACCAAGAAGGTGTTGAAGGTAGTCGGCAATCGAGGAAACTCAAAGGACAGTCCCTGGGAGAAGTTGAAATCCCAGCAGCTGCTGGGAGTGTCCTGAGATTTTCCCCAGAGTCCACTAGCCATTGGCAGTCTAGTCCCTTTGTGGTCGCCAAAAATTGTAACCGAGTAAGGGCTTGTTCTGCTCGCCACAACCTGATGCCAGTCAATTGTGAGATGAGTCAATGGTTGAGAAAGGTATTTACTCTATTAGCTAGCAAAATCGGAAGATGGTGGACTCATGTCCCAAAGACCATCTTAAGCAAGCACTAAATCTTGAGGCACTTATATGAGGAGGAGGGAAGAATAGGGAGGGGGTCAGGCTATTTCTAGAATCCATTCTCCAGACTTATCTTCTGTTCTGCCTGCAGGGCTCGATGTTCTTTCCTGCCTTAACAATGAGTTTTGGTCTCAGGCAGCCTCTTCGTCCCTTTTTGGTTCCTGAAAAATAATTCATTCCATTGTCAGCAAAGTTTCATGTCAGATTTGAGAACCTGCTGAAACATGTTAAAACATGTCCCTGTAGCCTTTGTATAATAGCCTGGTTACCTTATAGGTTAATCAATGATATGTGATTAGCAGTTGCAGAATGATTTCCAGGCCGGTGAATATGGGAATTATGATCATCTCTGGGTCCTCATGCCTTCCTTCTTTTCTCTAGGTCTTCTTTCTAAGGACCCTTTCTGCCTTCCTGAGGAAAAGACAGAGGCAGAAAAGATGGTAACTGACTGTCTGACAAATTTTTCTCAGGTAATTAGAAAGTGTATCCTACAAAATGACATATGACATCCACCAGTTACATAAATTTCCTTAAGGTAGACCTGTTTCCTGAGTTTCTGAAAGAAATAAAGCCACTCAAGGACTGAGTCTCTCTTGAATTCTCTTGTGAAGAGAAGCCTCTCATATTGGTTCCTGTGAATAATCTCAGTATTTCATTACCTTCTAATATTGTCTTTTACGATGGTGACTGCATATTTTCTATTTTGCTACATGCTCTGACATGGTAATGAAGATGAATGTGTGCATTTCTCAAAGAATTTATTCATTCATCAGCTTTTCCAAGTGTCTCCAATTTGCTTAGAACCATGCTACAAGAGGGAAATAAGATGAGAAGAGCTTTTAGTCTAGTTCTTGTGAGGTAAGTTCATGTGTTAGAGGTTCCATTAAAGCCATAATTGGAGAATATCAACTGTGGGTGAGTGTAGACAGAGAGACGAGTACCTAGGAGCATTCCACCCTGGGGGAGATGATGAGAGACCTCAAAACCCTCTGTTGCCATTGAGTCTCCCTCTTCATTCCCCAGTGAACGCTGGTGGAGATGTTAGTTTACTGAAACGAGCTTGTGTGTGATGGTTTAGGACTCAGTTACCTTTGCTGATGTGGCTGTGAACTTCACCCAAGAGGAGTGGAGTTTACTGGACCCAACTCAGAAAAGTCTATACAGAGATGTGATGTTGGAGAACTACAAGAACCTGACCACAGTAGGTATGGTTGCCATCATTCCTGTAGTGTCTTATAGAACATATATATATGATGTATTTACTATTTTCCAATATCAGTGATAAGTCTGAACACGATGGAGACTAAGAGACACTAGTCTCTATCTACACTAATGGGTTTTAATCCAGTGTGGTTTCTGTAAAAATGTGGTTCTAAGACTAACACCATCCCCATCACTCTCGTGAAATGTGCATTCTCAGACTCTACCTTTAACATAGTGAATCAACTTATGGATTGGGACCAGACGTTTCTGTTCTAATGAAAATACTGGACATGATTCCAGTGGATAATGAAGTTTGACTGGTGCAGTGATTCTCCATAAGAATGAACATCTCTTTTGCACTTATTTTATTTTCTATTTCAACAAAAGTCTCAGTGCTTTGTAATGTGTATATATATATCTGAACAGGAGTTTCAGCAGCCAGAGATAACTAATCTCTTTGATGCACAGAAAGAGGGGATATTTGCTGCTTTATCTCTTTTGAAATAATTTTACTACATTCATTAGAAATATACGAGCTGATTTGTGGGAAAGTTTCTCATCTTTTGCTGGGCCTTTTCTATTAATACATTTTTCCCGATAAACAGGGTATCAGTTGTTCAAACCCAATCTGATCTCTCAGTTGGAAGAAGAAGATTTGAGAATAGTGGAGAGTGGAGTCTTCCAAGGTGAATGATTCTGAAGAACTTCCCTGGTCAATGAAAGTTTCAGTATGTTTGGAATTATAATGAGGAAACTTTAATATGTGCTTTCTCTCAGAAGGCTGAGGTCATTGGACTCTGAAGCTTTGGAATATCTTCAACTTCTTACACATTCTTACTTTACATTTCCTCACAATTTCCTATTATGTCACAGAATGACTTGTTCTGTTTCTTTTTAACTTTATCATTTTGACATATGCCCTTTGTCTAGAACTTTCCTACTTTCTTTCCCTGACAGTATTCTGTCTCTTTTCCCCATCATATTTAATTTTCATAGAATCACTTTAATCAACTCTTGAATTTTGACTGTACATCTTTATCATCGCAAAGTTTCTGACATAGCCAAACTTCTCAAATCTCTCTTGCCCTTTTTTGTAATATGTTTAATTTGGAAATAATACAAATGATCCTTATTGTTTTTAACTCCTTTCTTTCTGTGAATTCCTACATTTGTTACTCTTTTTTATTTTAGAATGCAAATTGCAACTTAAAACCAGAGACTCAACAACTCAGCAGGATATTTTTGGTGAAAAAACAGCCAATAGGCTAGAAATGGTAAGATCAGTAAGTTAAAAAAGAGATATTTCTTATTTTCCACATTCAGCAAAGACTGACATTATCATTAGATAGAACATGAGCACACTGATCAATATTTGAGATAAGTGGCATTTGCTCAATAGAGAGCGATATTTGGAAAGATATTCTGACTGTGTTCAATTGGGGGATATCCTAAACTTAGCTTGAAAGTTATTGCTTCAGAATCCCTACAAGGACTCATTTCAACTTATGTAACTAGATATTGACATTTTAAAAGAATCCCATGAAACTGTATGAGAATCTTTTAAGATAAGAATAGATGGCATGTCATTGTGGCAGAAGGATTCCATCATTCAACTTGAAATAAATCAACAGGGTAGGAAGTGTATGGATGTACTGGAAATGGTAATCATCATTGTAATGATGTTTCTGTTTTCAGATGGGTGGGATCACATAGTGAGTCTGAGAAATCTTTGACTCATCATTCTTCATTCTTCAACAGGAGAGAATCCACAATGGGTGGGAACTCTATGATTGTGAGCAATGTGGGAAAGTCTTCAGTGAACATTCATGTCTTAAGACCCAGAAGAGTACTCAAAATGGAGGGAACACTTATGAGGATAATCAATATGGAAAAAGCTTGCTTACCCTACACAAGAAAACCTCTACTAGGGAGAAATTTTCCATGTTTAATCATTGGGGAAAAAAGATCAGCGTGACTCCAGATATTGTGTACTGGAAAACTAGCATGCAAGAGAAATCCTTGGAATGCAGTGACAGTGGGAAAGGCTTTGTTAATCAGTCTTACCTTCAGGCACCAATGAGAAGTCACAATGGAGAAAAACTCTATGAATGGAAGGAGAGTTCGAGATGTTTTATTCACTCCAGAAGCCTTGGTGTGCATGTACAAACTCACACTGCTAACAGTCATTACGAATGTAAGGAATGCAGAAAATCCTTTGAACAGTCCACATACCTTTACACACATGTCCAAGTTCACACTGGAAGAAAACCCTTTAAATGTAAGGAATGTGGGAAGGCCTTCATTAAGTCTTTTGAATATACTGAACATATAAAAATTCACGCTGGAGAGAAGCCCTTTCTATGTGAGGTATGTGGAAAATGCTTTAGAAATTCTTCATACCTTCATGTTCACAGTAGAATTGAAGCTGGAATAGAACCCTACAAATGTAAGGAATGTGGAAAAGGCTTTAAACATTCTTCGTACCTTAAAGTTCACATGCGAACCCACACTGGAGAGAAACCCTATGAATGTAAGGAATGTGGGAAAGCTTTTACTCAATCCTCAGGCCTTACTGACCATATAAAAACTCATACTGGAGAGAAACCTTTTAAATGTGACACATGTGGGAAAGCCTTTACTCTTTCCTCACATCTTAAGAGACATTTTAGAACTCATACAGGAGAGAAACCCTATGTATGTAAGGAATGTGGAAAAGGCTTTAAAACTTCTGGACCACTTAACATTCACATGCGAGCCCACACTGGAGAGAAACCCTATGAATGTAAAGAATGTGGAAAAGGCTTTAAACAATCTTCACACCTTAACAGTCACATGCGAACTCATACTGGAGAGAAACCCTATGAATGTAAGGAATGTGGGAAAGCCTTCATTCACTCTGCAGGCCTTACTGTACATATAAAAAGTCACACTAGAGAGAAACCTTTTAAATGTGCCACATGTGGAAAAGCCTTTGCTCTTTCCTCAGATCTTAACAGTCATTTTAGAACTCATACTGGACAGAAGTGTTTTGAGTGTAATATATGTGGGAAAGCATTTAGCAGTTCTGCATACATTTTGATTCACGCGCGTACTCACACTGGAGAGAAACCTTATAAATGTAAGGAATGTGGGAAAGCCTTCAGTTTTCCCAATTCCTTCCGGCGTCATGAAACAACTCACCTGGAGAGAAATCCTACCAATGTATGGAATGTTGTCAGGCCCTCAGTAGTCCCAGTTCACCTCAAAGACATGAAAAGGCCACACTGCAGAAATGTTCTGCAAATGTAAGGAATGAGGGAAAGCTGCCAGGATTTCCTCACAACCCAGCATGTAAGGACTCACAGTGAGCCATACTATTAAGAAACATGGAAAGCCCTTCACTGTTTCCTCATTGAAATATGTGTTTCTTATATGAGAGATCTTACAGTGGAGAGGAAATCCAACTGATGTAAGATATGTGGGAAAATTGTTATTTTGCTAATGTTCACTTGTGATCTCTCTTTGGAGAAAAACTTTATGAATGTCATAAATGTAGAGTCATCGTCATTTTCCATTAGATTGTTTCTCATCCTTAATAAACATGGGGTGATTCACAGTCAAGAGAAACTGAATATAGAAAATACGGGAAAGGCTATCCTAAGTGTGAATCTTAGGGTCTTCTGAGATGCATAGCATTCTTGGTGGTTCTATAGATCTATTCTAAGCATTTGTGATTAGGCCCTGAACATTCCTACGGATGCTATGTCTTTCTGCTGATAGGCCAGTCTTGATCAAAAGTAGGTCTACAGGATTTATACTTAATCCTCTTCTAACCACCTGGATTCTCTTCTTGGATTGACTTGGTCTTTGTGAAGTCAGTGACTGCCTGAGAGTTCTCACTGAACTCATTTACAGTAAGTCACACCAGCCAAGGCACAGGGTAACATACATCTGCAAATTTTGTAAAAATTACCTTGTCCTTCACATACCTGATCCTTTCAGATAAAAAATCAGTGTCAAGGGTGGGGTGAGTAGCGAAAAAGTGAGATTATACCTACCAATGTGAGACACCCTGATTTTATGACTTTGGGGGATGAACAACAACCCTGCCACCTGGGGAGGACCTTTAACCTCAAGCCGTACAGGATGATGCTGAGAATAATGAATGGTCTCTTTCACACCGGTCCCAGCACCACAGCCTGGGAAAACAATGATATCATTTATCTGTGTCAAACAACTGTCACTGGTGATATGACTTGCTTCTATGTTTGTCATTCTATCCATGGGCTGTGAAAATAGAAAAACTCATGTGAATGTAGCTGGTCCTGATAATCTGCTCTGCTTGATATTCTCACTGCCTGTTCCTGAATGTGACCCTTGGGTGCAGACAGACCAGCACAGCCTTGTTTCAGCTTCAGTGATACAAATTCACATAGTTTGGATGCTCAGGCAGCCTTGGGTTATGTTGAGTATGGCCATCAGGCATGCGTCTGCTTGATGACACTTTCTTGAGGCTTAATCAAAACACTGTATGATGATCTAGATCAAGCTTAACAATAAATCCTGAAGGAGAATTCTCTGTGCACCTTTGTGTTACATGTTTGTATGTGTGGAGGAGTATGTCATGTTGTGGTTAACTATTGGGCGTGGATATTGTTATTTAGTCCATCTGTTGCCTCTTTAATTATTGGCAACAACACCAAAGATCAGCAGATTAGTCTTACCCATTTGTGTGTGGTGTATGGGAAATCGATTAGCCTTAGATGAGATCCTAATTGTCTGAAAGATCTGTTGGTCCTACCAGAATTTGGAACAGTTGCCTGAGTCTAAGACCTTGTGGGTAGTGTTTGAGGTCACTCCTGCATGTTGGCCTCATTCTGCTGCTGGCAGTCCTGGTGACAGCATCCTCAATAAGTGCTGTGCAAGAAAAGTCAAGCATATTTGCGAAATAGCTATCAACTCAATAGATGAATAAGATATATTTGATAACATCTGTAAACAATTCTTGATAAAATGTTAGTAAATCAGGATTTAAAAGGTCTGTGTTAACTCCACCGTGGCCACCCACTGGAACCCACAGCAAACATGGTTACCAGAGAAACTTGAGAACCACTCTTAAGTGAAGAATTTCTGGTATTGGTGGTATTTCACAACATAATATGGGAGGCCCTGGACCATATGGTAAAAGTTTTTAAAAATTAGAATAAATACTTATTTGAAAAAAAAATGAAAAGATTTATGGAAAATGTCATTACATTAAAAACACAAAGGAATCAATAATTAGAGTTTAGCATGGTGTCCAATGTAAATAAAAAAGGAGAAATAGATCTAAAGAAGGCATTGATTTAATGGAGGAAATAGACTATTTCATGGATTGGCTGGCATGTCATTACAAGAGAACCATTGTAAAGGCTCTGGGAACGCGGGGTGAAGCAGGTAGAAACGTTTTTGATGAACATTCTCACCTCCAACCTCGAGTACAGGTGAGAGCCCCGCCCTCCACCTGTAGCCCAGCGTACAGCGCTATTCTAGACTCAACTGTATCTTGGGATGTTTCTGCCTCCAGCCCCGGGACCAAGCCAACCTCAGCCCATCCGCACCCACGCAGTTCAGTACAATTTCTCAGTCTGAAATAGTCCATCTTGGCTGACAGCCTGAGCCTCAGAGCTCCGCCCCTTCCAAGCTCAGGCAGAGAGCTTAAGTGGTGTGAACCTTTTTCATCCAGGCTTTTCTCCTGCTTGCTTCTAGTGTCTTGGAGACTTGCATGTTGGTGGTAGTCCGGCCTGGCCTAGCCCTGCTTTGGTGAGGCCTGCAGGAAGGTGAGAATATGGAGGTTGAAGGAAGGAGTCAACGGGCGTGTTTGGTCCCGGCTGTGTAGGGGACGGCTAACAGAGTCCTTGAGCTTGCCGCTCACTTCCCCGGGGGCAGCTGGCCTCTCAGGACTGCTAAGTCCCAGAGCCGGTTTGGGCTGTGTTCCCCGCAAAGCTTTTAATCGGGAAATGCTGTAAGGGCGCATGCGTGGCATCTTATCTTCCACTGAGCTTCCCTCTTCAGAAGCCTCCAAAACAACTTTTGTGACTTGTATCCAGAAGGAAAAGAATTTCCATCGTTGGAGTGATGTTGACTCAGTCCCTGCATCCTCTGGTCCTCCCGGATCTGGCAATTCTTGCCTATTCTGGGGAGCACTGGGTGAATGTTGCTTCCAGAGGGCCTCTGTTTGCTTTATGTGCAAAAGAATGTTTAATCTAGGAATTTGTTTTTGTATGAGTCCTTCATTTATTTTTGGTACATTACATTGAGGTCGACTTTACTTATTAACCTCTAATTCTTTTTCCCCCTCCTCTCAGTCCTTGGGAATCTTTAATCTCACTACTCTTAAGTTCCTCATATAGGGCGAGCACAGAGTATTTGTCTTTTTGTGTCTCGTTTATTTCACTCATCAGCCTGTCTTGAAAGTTCATCCATGTTGCAACGTGTGTCAGAATTTCCTACCTTTTTCTGAATAATACTCCATTGTACGTATATACCACATTCATATGTCAGTGTACACCCGGGTTGTTTCCACTTTTTGGTGATTGTGACTAATGCTGCTGTGAACACGGGTGTACAAATATGTATTCAAGTCGCTGCTTTCAATTCTATTGGGTATACATGCCCAGAAGTGAAATTGCTTGATCATATGGTAATTCTTTGTGTATCCCATTCACTTATTACTCCTATCATTTCTTGGCAGGTGTTTTCTTCCTAGATGTATTTGAAAATTCACAGAGTGTTTTTCTTTTAAATTGTGGGAAAGAACACTCAAGAGTTATCTTAACTGTCTTACAGGTACAGTTCAGTAGTGTTAAGTATATGCACACTGTTGTGCAATAGATCTCCAGAACTTTTTCAGCTTTCAAAAGTGAAACTCGATATATCCAATGACCACCATATCCCTATTTCCCTTCTTACAGGCCCTGGTAACCACCATTTTACTTTTTGTCTCTATGAGCTTGGTTACTGTAGGGATCTCATAGAAATGAAACAATGCAGTATTTGTGTTTCTCGTAAAGGGACTTTTTGAGATGTAAAAAGCCCCGGCTTTGGTTGTCTAAATGTAGTAATAGAAGTCATAACACCCACGCATTTTAACTCCTTTCCTGTTTCCCCTCCTTCGCCCCTAGATTGATATTTATATAGAAGCATCCTCTGGAGGACGCTGCAAGGTGTTAAGCGACCTAAGATTTGGTTCCAGTGGCCCTTTTCATTAATTCGCTTGGTGAACATGGGCACGTACCTGATCGGTCTGTGCCTGTTTCCTCATCCATAAAGTGGGAAAAGAAGAGGAAGCCTTCTCAGCACTTTCACATCAGGAACCCCTGCCTTGTCCTGCCCTCTGTCCTGGCTCCACTCTGCCTCTCGGACATGTCCTCGCCTTTCCGACTTAGTTCCACCTGCGGACGCTCCCAGTTCTCTTCTGGCTTAGGAAGGTCATGGTTCCCATTTGCTCCCTACCCCCAGTCGCCCCTCCGCGCTCTCTGTTCCCGGAGCCCTTCCCCTCGCTCTCCCCAACGGGAAACGGAAGTGTGCGCCCCCAGCAGGCTCGCTTCTCCTGGCTGCTCCTTTGTCTGGTCCGGAGATGTCGGCTTTCAGGTGAACCTCACGGGACCGGGAGCACGGGCGGGGCAAGGGCGCCCACCCGGACTCCACGTGGACACCAGGCAGCTCCAGAGCAGCCGCCCTCTTCCTGCCGGCCAGGCTCCTTACCTCGCTGCGTGGTATCTATCCTGGCGGGTGCCCGCCCGGGACCTCCTCCACGCTCCCGCCTTGGGTCTGCGATCCCCCGCCTGCTCTCTGCTCTGGGGCCACGGCCTCTCCCCGAGGCGGCAGGAGACGAGGGGCCGCCAGGAACGTCTGTCCCAGGGAGGAGGTGGATCGGGGACTGCGGTCGGAGAGCGTCCGCGGGGCCTTTTCTTCCGCTGTGCTCCCCTGTGCAAAATGCCTCCTAAGCAAACTTTTTTGCCCCGTTTCCAGAAGGAAAAGCATCTCAGTCCTTCACAGACCTGGGGATGCCGGCAGTTTGGGTGAGCCCTGAGTGAATTTGCTCCGGTTGTGGGCGTCAGTTATTTGTTCAGTCCATTATAGTCAGGTGGGAAGATAAGAGTTCTTAGGGTATTAGGGAGGACATGTACCGGATATCATTAAGCGCATGAGTGAATGAATACGTGAAAATACGACAGCTACTACCACGGGAAAGCCGGGCTACTCAGCTCCACCTGATCTCGCCTGACCTCCAGAGCCCTGTCAGTCTCCAAGAACTTCAAAATATGAGTGTTTAGAAAAGGACGATGTAAGCTTCTTCCTGTTAGTAGGAGCACTTGGAATTCAATTTCCTATAGTTTAGGAAGAGTAATTAATGAGCAGAGGGCCTAGGGTCGGCACTATAGGAATATCTCGTTTCCTGACGTTTTTGATATTTTCCTGGATCAGGTATTATATGAGTGTTACCAAATAGTGATTTTCCAGTGCATTCATTCTTAGCTAGCAGTTTCTTCTCCTTTTATCTTTTTTCCTACCTTTTGATTACTATTATGTACTCCTGGATTCTGTCTCAATGTACTACAACCAATATATCACTTTTTGATAGTTCAGCTTTATCTGGGGTAGCTTCTTTCAGTTCCCTCCATTTGACACAATCCCATTGATGTTTGAGGACTTTGTTGCTTACTGACTCAACTTCACCCAGGAGGAGTGGACTTTACTGGACCTCACTCAGAGAAACCTGTACAGAGAGATGTGATAC